GCAAGCCCTGGCTCCGCAGGGGTGCGAGCGCCGCATCCATGCACTTCATGAAAGTACGGGGTGCTAGGGACAGGCCGAACGGAAGGACGGTGTATTGATAAACCTGACCGTCGAAGGCGAATCTCAAGAATGGCCTGTGACGGGGATTTATCTGAATCTGAAAGTAGGCATCTTTCAGATCGAGAGAAATAAACCAGTCCCCCTGGCGCACGTGCGCGAGGAGTTTCCTGACTGTAAGCATTTTGAACGGTCTTTTCGCAAGCACCTTGTTCAAAAATCTGAGATCCAAAATCGGTCTGAGGCCGCCGTCTTTCTTGGGAACAAGAAAATAACGGCTGTAAAACCCCGACTCGCTCAGAGAAGGCGGCACTCTCTCTATGGCCCTTTTGCACAGAAGGTTTGCTATTTCTGAACAAAGCATGCAGGCTGCTGCCGTGTTCACAGTCGTTTCGAGCCGCGCTCGGAAGCGGGGAGGGCGGTGATCGAACTGTAGCAAATAACCTTGTTTTATCGTGCTTAACACCCATTTGGATATTCCTGGGATAGCTTACCACGCTTTGAAGCGTAGCGCCAGAGGGTGAATGGCCAAATCGCCCTGATTGCCGCACACAGCGAGCTGAACAGAATGTGTGAGCGCGCTTACCGTGCTTATGCATGACGGCTCGCAAACAGCAGGAACAGGCTGTTCTGTGAGTGACTTCCCGATTGAGGTGAATGGGGAAAGAGTCACATCTGTTAAGTGATGCGCGAGCATAGTCACAGGCACGGGACTTACATACAGAGAGGTGATGGCTGGCCGTGTGACAGAGCGGGCAGAGAGGGGGCGCGCGCACGGGCTCGTGGGCGCGTTTATTGACTCTAACACTCGAGCAGGCTGTGCCCGCTTTATGGGAGTGGGCTCTGATAGGGACACGGGGAGCGTAATTGTCTATTAGTAAGCGTGAGCGCTTGTGTGCGGGCACGAGGCTTAGATATGAGTGTGACGCCCCGATCGCTTTGGACGGGGAGCGTTTTTTTTTTTTTGATCGCCTTGAGACACGAGCGCGGCGCTATGGGCAGAGTGTTTATTAGTAAGCGTGAGTGCTTCTGAGCGGGCACAGGACTTACAGTTATAAGTGACGCCCCGATCGCTTGGGATGGGCGGCGTTTTATAGTCACTCTTAGATGCGCGGGCGGCGCTCGGGGAGAGGTATGTGCTAGTAAGCGTGAACGCTCGTGGGCGGGCATGTGACTTACATTCATAACCTGACTGATATGAGTCTTTAATGGCCGTGTGAGCGTTGCCAGTAAGCGTGCGCGCTCGTGAGCGGGCAGGTGACTTACATTCACAGCCCGACCAGTTATGAGCACTTGAGTACGGCGGCTCGCTGACAGCGACAGCTGGCTGTTTTACATGTGACGTCCCGGTTGCTTGAACGGGAAACGTTTTGTGAAAACATTGTAATGTGCGAGCAGCGCCGGAGGCCCTCGTGGGCGGGCACGTAACTTTCATTCATAGCCTTACCAATATGAGTACTCAAATATGGCGGCTCGCTGACAGCGACAGCTGGCTGCTCTGGCCGAGACAGAGCGGGCATAAAATAGGCGTGAGCACAGAGTTGTGGGCACGTTTCCTACATCTAGCACTTGAGCGGCATTTGCCAGCTTTATGAGAGTGGGCTCTGCGAGAGACACGGGGGGGGGGTATCGTGCTTGTGTGTAGGGGTGAACACCGAGATGTGGGCACATTTTCTACACTCAAGACACCAACGGCGTGAGCCGGATAACCAGACATTGTACTCACTTTGAGATTTCTCTGGGTCGCCGCGAGAACGGCGGATGTGTGCAGGCGAGCGGGTTGCATTACCGGCTCGTTGGCTGCCGAATACACCGCCGCAGTAGCCTTTTCTAAGGGGACTGACAGGGCGAGACGAGACATTTCGACGGCGGCGCGCAAGCCCGTCCGGGTCATGCAGAGAGCTCGAGAGGGCTCTGCATGACGCGCGAAACGGGGACGCGAGGGCGGGGTAGCTCTCTTGTAACGTAAAGAGAGCTAGCCGCGTGCTCGTTGGTCGAGCAGTTACCGGGAATAGTGTTTGTATGAGGGCGCGCGCACTAGTAGTGGGCACGGGACCTTCATGCGACACAGCTGATGCCCGTCCGGGTCATGCAGAGAGCTCGAGAGGGCTCTGCATGACGCGCGAAACGGGGGCGCGAGGGCGGGGTAGCTCTCTTGTAACCTAAAGAGAGCTAGCCGCAAGGCGCTGTGGTTAAAGACTTCGATTCGAGCCCGCAGGGTCGACATCGGAAGTTCCTCGCAGTGCTCGCATCCTCCACGAGAGGGCGAGGCCTGCGTGTTCCTGGCCAAGGCAGAGAGCGCAGGTGACGGTCTCCAGCGCTGAGCGGCTCTGCACAAGCCACAGGAAGTGCGAGACATCTTGAAAAAGACGTCTCGCTGCTCTTTTGGGAAGTGTAGAACACAGAATACAGAATATAGAGCTTAAAAGGATATGTCGCCGGATGGCGTAGCTCGCCGGATGGCTGAAGGTGGCGAAGACGGCCGGCTTCTTCAAGCGCTGTCCAAGCTCGCTAAAATGCCCCTCGAACGGCGACACGGCTTCTGCAGTTCCGAGATGCGAAAAGCTTCGCTGAAGAGATGAAAATCAGGGAAGCAGCCTACGAACCTCGCTTATATACACTCTAGCCACGCCCAGTTTGGCGGGCTGTGACACGATGAAGGCGCGAGCGCCTCTCATTGGACGCGAGTTCATTCAGTTCGACTATAGGCTGCAGCAGTTGCCGCAGAGCAACCAATGAGCTCGCTAGCTAGCCCGCTCAAGGTCTGCAGCTGCTGCACTGCGTTGACAATTGATACAAAAATTAAGGATAATTTTTTGGCTTCAATATTTCAGAAAAGATTAATCTTTCCGTAGCGTAAGCTAGCTTACGCAATACGAGAGTACCTCTCGTAAGAGAACAGTTAGGGGTGTAACGATACATCGATATGGATTGATGCATCGATCAAACGTCTAACAATACGATGCATCGATGCCACACAAAACATCGATATATGGTACCTTTATTTTGACACTCCACATCCTCACGTAACGTTTCTCAGCTGAAAAAACGACTGACAAGATTGACTGAACCCTAAACACGTTTTGTCACAAAAACCGGTATTGTCCACTGTCAAGACATCGCGAGTTCATGTTTTACAGCAGAAACCGACAAGCACCCTTGATGTTTTTGAACACAACCCGATAAGTCCGTTTTAGCGAATCAGCGCACAGTATTCAGGTCAGGTGACAAGACTGCTAGTCACTTTGAAAATATGCGCTAGCTGAGAGGAGTTTCGTCAAAGCTGACTAAAAGTGATCGAGGACGGATCATTTCAATGAACTTGATAAACCCGTGAAATCTTCTTCGGGGCGTAAAAGGAGAATAAAAGCTGAACATTTTTTCACGGAAACGTGGTGAGGGAAAAGATCCCTGTATTGCGTGTTATCACAACAACAAAGTTTGTCAGGCGTCTATGTCAGCTGAGGAGATTAACGTTAAAAAGATTAACCGAGTGTTTTATTATGTATCATAGCAATTACTTGGTTTTGTTTAACTCTGAAACATGAAATGTAGAGTTTTCTGCTTTTGCTAAAAAAAAAAAAACTTTAAAAAAAAACTATATAAAACACATACTTTTAATTAACTTTAATTTTTTAAGTTACCTGTATTTTTTTAGTTATTATTACTTAATCAAAACAACCCAGCTGCAGTTTGATTGATATTACTTGGAATGCAAAAAAAAAAAACAAAGATTTATGAAAATGAACAAGAACGGAGTTATCTGTTTTTGCAAATGAACTCTTCTGTTGTAAATGTCCTAATTGGGAGAAGGTCTGCAATTTTCAAAGAGTTTAATTAAACGTTCACGTTATATATTTTGGTTGCATTTGTGAGTTAATTAACTGGTTGTGTAAACTTGGCACATAATATCTAAATATCGATAAATCAATCGATATAGACCTGAATCGAATAATAATTAATATTATTATAAAATTAAATTTGAAAATCCCACATTTCAGCCACAATACCATGGTGCAGTCAGTGTTACTACAGTAAATTCATGGTAAATGATGGAGATTTGTAGATTGAAAAGCCATCTGACTGTATCATTGTGTTTCTCCAGTTTGTCTGCAAGCGCTTCTCACTGGACCTCACAGCACTGTTTCCGAGACCAAGACAGCAAGTAAACATGTAAGCTCGCGCTGCGCTATAGTTTGAACTTTGAGCCGAGCGGATAAATAATTTGTGTAGCGTGCTGTTCAAATGAGTAGTGCTGTTTCATTCCACTTGTGGCACATAAACATTATATTGAACATTTATCAAACTCTTGTTATCGGTTTATCAAGGAAAATTATATCGTGATAATTATCATTATCGTTTTATGGCCCAGCCCAACGGAGGAGCTTGAATTTGTTGCCCAGCCCTATTTGTTTGAACCGCGGGAGGCGTCTACTCTCACCTAAGCTTACGCTACTCGTACGTCATACGTAGGATCATAGGTCACTCTTCTGCCGGTACTAGACTCGTGTACGGCCATTACCGGAAGCCAGTTATAGTTTATAAAGTTTTAAATATGGATATCTTGTGCGTCAAGCAGGTTCAATTGAGCTTCTGTTTATGTCTGCTGATCAATGTTTAAATGTGAATTAAATTGAACCTGTTCATCATATAAAGCGATCAAATCTCTTCAGAAAATTTGGACCAAACCACTCAATTAATATGGATTAGTTTTACGATCTGTTTATGAATTTTTTGGAGCTTCAAGTGGTAGTTGTGTAGCTATCAATGGAGAGTACAGAAAGCTCTCAGATTTCATCAAAAAAATCTTCATTTGTTTTCCGAAGATGAACGAAATTTAATGACAGAATTTTCACTTTTGGGTGAACTATCTCTCTTTATATTAATATTAGCATTCCCTTGAACATCACTAATAAACTCCTGCCTAATCACCAGTCACTTACCTGCTGCTGTGAAAGCGGTGTAAAGGGTCTGTTCGGTGACATGATGACAACTGACACCCAAATTCGCTAATATCCAGTGTGGCATTTTCACTGAAGTTTCCTCCCTGTGAAAGCAGTGGAAATGGCTCTTCTGGAGCAAGGAACTTCTCATAGACATGCTCAGACATCTGGAAGCTATATCACAAGAACAGATAATGGCATCAGAATTGACCTTACAACAGATAAACGACCAACAGCCTAAATATTCAATCAAATTGCTGCGCTGAGAAGCCTTGTTGCTATCTGCCATTTTGTCAGTTAAGCTTTAAAGCTTATTGAACTGTCAGACACATACAAACTTAACCCTAACTACACATTAGAACAGTTGATGACTATTTCCGGCGACATGACAACGCCCTAATTTTACATTTTATTATCTTTATTATATTTAATTATATATAACATTGTAAAAGGGCAAATAGGACCCCTTTAAATAAAGTCTTGATTTTGTTTTTGGGGTATACTAGAATGTTTTCATGCTTGATTGTTCAAAAAAACGCATTATTTTTCACATATTTTACATTATTACAGCTCCTCTCTCCCCAGTCTGGTTGACGCGTCTGGTTCACGCGTCATTTTTGAGGAAGCGTCTCCTTCCGAAATACAAAATATGCTGTGATCAGTTAGCTGGCCCAGTGTGTTGTGATCGGATTTGGCACCGCTTAGCGCATGTTCGGGAAATGTCATACCCCTTCATAACAGTGAATTCAGCTCTGGTGTTGATAATTAAGGATGGCATCAATATCAAGCCAATTCGTATCTGATTCAGACCCTGACAATGTTAATGAACAAGAGGATCGTGCAAAACAGATTTCAAGCATGGACTTTGCAAGCACGGATTTCAAAGAATGTTTCAAAGTGGTACTTTTTTTGTAAATTTCTTTCTTCATCTTCTCTAGGGCGGAGATTATTTAAATGAGTAACATTATGACTTCTGCAAGGTTACGGAGTTTTTTTTTCCGGATCTTGTGATCTTTGTTATGCTCAAACAGCAACATTACAGACTAACTAAAGTTGAAAAAACATTATAGGAACCCTTTAAATCACAAAATATGCGTCGGAAATTCTTGGAATATTAAGACACCTTTTTTCTTTGTTTCACAATACTCAGTTAATCATTGTAAACTGGGGTTGGTGTCTTTAGAAGTAAGTATCTGTGCTGAATTTTACATAAACAAATCACAACAATCCTGTGCTATGGGCACAGCCATTGATTGCGCTCCTATTTGAAGCTTCCGCTTTTCGAACACGTAAGTGAGATAAAGGCCTATTATGTAAAAATGCCTGTTTTGACAAGCATCCACGTAAACACAGTCTTAAGAGAACGTAAACAGTTAAGAAAATATCGGATGTGTGTCAATATAAGGTGACATCAATAGGTGTTAAACGACAGCCGAATCATATACCTTCACTGGTTAAATTGGGGCGGAGCGCACCGTAGCGGAGCTACGCCTCCTCGGGTCCAAAACACACCCTGCCGGAGCTCAGCTCCGTCTCCTTCAGCACAAAATATATCAATTTTGTTGAGTGTATATAATGAAAGTTATAAAATAATTGGCTAATATTAACTCGAATTTGGTGCTGCAATGATTCGCCTATCGCAACGCAACGATAACTGACCTTCTCATCTGAGCTGAGCACTCACCCACTCGTCAATGTCATAATGTTTGAGTCCAATCAAAGCAAGTGGGATTTATGTTCACAGAAGTGCAAGCCGAGCACGAATCCCAACGCACCTTCACGCTTCAGTTAACAGGCATAGGCCTACAGTGCGAGATAAGATGCAAGTAGCGAAATCTAAACAGCTGTTTGTCGATAGAAGTTTTAAATGATCGACAGAAATAATCAGTTTGATCAAAGACAGTGCTATAAGCTCAATTTAACAACACAAGCACCCTATTAAATATATTGCCATTATTATTGTAATATATTTGTATAACGTTACCTCGAATGTGTTTGACTTTTCACTGTTTGTATCACTCCGCTTGTTCGTGTTTCCGCAACTTGCATCATTAAGCCAGAAGGCGGCGACAAGTGACTGTCTTTATGAGTGAGCAATTGAACCATTGAACAGATTAGCTAGTCCAAAAATATTGATTAATTTAGGAAAGAAAAAGTAGCTGAAACTGATCTTTGATGCTCATTCTAATTGCTCATATGCCTCTGGGCACAGAATGATTGCATTGGCGTTTGTTTGAAATGTAACATACAAAATAATCCTTGAATCATTTCTTATTTAAAGGGGGGGTGAAATAGCCTGGGAAAACCCAGACAACTTCCGGCAAATTTAGATTTGCTCTGAAAGTTAGTCTGGCAAAGAGCTCATTCAAGCTCATTTCCAATCCGCCGAAATCGAGGCACCAATCAGAAACGTTGGGGCGGGCTTTACACGATGACGACAGCGCTGGGATTTTGAAGCAGATTTTGTAGCCTACATTACAAAGATGGATATCCACCGTCGAACATCACTAGTTCGAATCAGCTATCGCGTCTGCGAGATAAGATGCAAGTAGCTAATCTAAACAGCTGTTTGTCGATAGAAGTTTTAAATGATCGACAGAAATAATCAGTTTGATCAAAGACAGTGCTATAAGCTCAATTTAACAACACAAGCACCCTATTAAATATATTGCCATTATTATTGATTTTGTAGTCTACATTACAAAGATGGATATCCACCGTCGAACATCACTAGTTCGAATCAGCTATCGCGTCTGTTTTAAGCGATTTGAACGTTTCCTTTTTGTTAAAAACCGAGCAAAGAACAACACTCGGAGATGTTTCTGCCGCTCTGCATACGTTATCTCCTTCATCGCTCTCATTGGTTTTAGGTCTATCCGCGACATCCGTTGGTGACGCCCCTCTGGAAATGATTTGTCTATGACGCTTTGCCAGACCATAACTCAGTTACAACTGAGAATGGTCTAGTTTTAACCAGGCTAGGGGTGAAATGCTATTTCATGCATAGTGAGTTTTTTACACTGTTAAAGAGTTGGATTCTACGGAGCCCCCCTAGTCCCACTTTGTCAAAAAAATTTATTATAACTATCTCGTAAGTAACTCGTGGCCTCAAGATACTATCTCGTGGCCTCAAGATACTATCTTGATGCCACGAGATACTATCTTGAGGCCACGAGATACTATCTTGAGGCCACGATAGGAGGCCACGAGTTACTATCTTGAGGCCACGAGTTACTTATCTTGAGGCCACGAGATAGTTATAATACATTTTTTTGACAAAGTGGGACTAGGGGGGCTCCGTAGGATTCCCATGCTAAACATGGACAAAGTTTCAAAAATTAAGTTGTACGTCTGATTGAGTATTTCTGTTTCTAGTATGGGCGCGTATGACGTCAGATGCGCCGGAATTTCCTTATACGGTCCTAAGGGCACTTCTCTTTTGGAAGGGCGCGCGCGCAGCTGTAGAGCGATAGCCATCAAAGCGCTGTGCATCGGCTGCGCTCGAATATGTCACCAAAGAAGTGTGTTTTCGGTTGCCAAGGCAAGACAACACTGCACAGATTCCCAAAGAATCAAGCGTTAAGGGACCAGTGGATGGAGTTTGTTTTTCCAGAACATCAACACAGTTGTGCAAGTGTTCTTGTTTGTTCCATGCATTTCGAGGATGATTTTTTTATAAACAAGGCCCAGTTCGAAGCCGGATTTGCTAATCGTTTAGTTCTCAAGGATGGAGCAGTCCCAACACTAAAGGTTAACGGTCTTGCATTGGAGCCGCGGTGAGTAGAACTGCTTCAAATATCTGTGTCTATCGGCGTGTAACTTAAGCACAGCGAGCAAGTAGGCTAAACAACATGATCACGAATAGTTAATGTATCTATGGAGCATGCGATGTATGTTGTGTGTTTGTTTAAATACATTTGTTTAGGTGGCTACTGTAGGTGTCTGTTTGTTTGTTGTAAAACCAAATCATGTCTTCATCAACCACGAGTAGACACACAAATGTTCTAAAACTTTGCGCGCTCGTGATTATTTAGCTCCGCCCACACGGCACGCCTCCACCCGCTCGGCTTTTTCCGGAAAGACTCGGTACAGCCTATCTTTCTTTTATAAATATAATAAAACTAAAGACTTTTTGAAGATATGATGGATGCAATATTACTCTATAGGTACTCAAGATTAACATGAGATTGACTGAAACTGAGCGTTTCACCCCCCCTTTAAGGACATTCCCGTTTCGAATATGTGATTGTGTATTGTCATCAATATGCATAAACATTCCGCATTTCCATTTTATAGTGTGGATCACTCATTGTGACATTTAAACTGATTATCATGTTAAAGAATCTGTTATCTGATAAAATAGGCCTACTTCATGCTACTGACCACTGACATGCTTTTAAAGCTACTGTTGTCCATTTTTTTGGCCTTCAAAACACCTTAAAATGGACATGTCGAGATCAGGAAAATCAAAATTTTCTTGGGGGGGACATGCCCCCAAACCCCCCTAGCAAGATAATTTTTGGGAACATTTAGTTATAAAAAAAAACCGTACGGCTCTGCGTGTCAGTGTGATTAAATCAAACAACATAAACTGCCAAAGAAATTGGCCCTGATTCTTTTAAATCAACATAATTTTATTGTTTTAAAAGATATTTGCCAACCAATATTTTCAAACATGTTCAATTTCATTCATTTTCCGAGGGTGAAATCCTGTCTGTTGACATTAAAGGTAAACTTTTTTTCTTTTTTTTTAAGTGAATTGTAAAGTATTTCTCTTTGTTTAAATAAGTACTCAACCCTACCGTACACGTTAATACTGGAAAAAGAGCCTCTTTGGTGTAAAAACACATTAAGTCATTTTACAGCGTGATTTTGAATGATGACCATTCACCGTAAATAAGGGCTCCCCCTCCCTATAAAAGCCAATTTAACCACTGTATACCTTCTGTTTCAATAATGTTAACCAAACAAAAAAAGAAAAAGAGATAATCACTCATTGCTCTTAACTAAATAACTTCTGTAGCTTTAATAGTATCTTTCTTTGTACATTTACTTCATATAGTAAAACAGTTTTCACAAAGGCCTACTGTAAAGAGTTTAATTTGTATCTTTGTTCTCTTGTATTTATTTGTGCTATTGCTTGAAATTACTTTATTCCTTCTTAATTTATAATTGAATGTTTACTTGTCTTTAATGTTTGAACTTTATTTTAGTTAAGCTAGTATTAGTTTTTGCTGTGATCGTAAATTGAAATCGAGAATTGTGTAATAACTTCATTTCTTTAAGCAAGGCCAGTGAATGATTTGACAGGGCAAATAAATAGCTAATCTAAAAAAAATCTGATAAAAAAAAAGCGATTAAACAGTGAATATTTTAGTTTTTTAGCTAGTTAATAATGATACTTGTTAATAATACTGATATGATGAAAATGTTCTGTTAGTAAAATAATAGCCTACATGTGTACCGATTTGAACTGTACTGCAGAAAGACTGGTATTGTATAAAATGTTGTATTGATTTAGTACCAATTTAAGTACCGGTAGACTACTTTTGACTAACTATATAGTAATATACTGGTGTCGATTTAAAGATGCAGCACTTGCAATGGTCTCTTGCTACAGATTCTGACTGAGGGCTAAAGTATGAATAATTTACAAGAGAAAAATATAAGGTAGCATTTATATGGTGGAAATTGGAAACTGGACATTTTAGAACACAAAGTCCATGCCATTAAAACATTTATATGATGATAAATGGTCATCAATATTTAAGGCTGTAAAATGTAGTGAAAATGACAGTGTATTAAATGCTCTCCTGTCTGAATTAAATGATATTGTGATGCAAGTAAATACTCCGAGCTCTGCTAGCAGGCCAGCTACCATGCTACACAGCAGCTATAATCATCAGTTAGGCCTGTATTAAATCACAGTTGAAGAATAAATAACTTATGTCGTTCATTATGGGGAATAATTAACATCGTTTAATTGATGTCATCCTTATTTTAGTAACTAGGATCTCATAATATTAGCGATTATCCTTCCACCTCCGTAAACTCATGACCGAAAACATTTCACTCTCTAACCTGCCTGATAACTGCACTCGGAATAAATTTAACATTAATTAAATAATTGAATATTTATATTTTACACATACCTGCAGTATTATCTGTTTTAAGCGTTCAATATGACCAGCACGAACATCAGATCTCAATCCTCATCCGCTTGATACGTCACTCAATTGACGTCATTGTTTTCCTCTGATGTACGGATGTACGTCTTCTTCTTGATGAATGGCTGTCCACTCTTTAGGAGCATTGTCGCCCCCTACTGTTCTGATCAACGAACCGTTTTTCTTACATGGGTGATGCGTCAAGCCTAAAATTATGGAATTATTTTTGTGCCGATAATAATGAACGTAACTTTTCAAGAAACTAATGAAAATATAAATTGAAATTGAATAAAATATCTTTGAAACTGAAAAAGAATGAATCGCAAGCAATTTTTTGACTTTGTTTTTAATACACTGCATGTTTTGCTTTCTTTTACCACATTTCATATTTCTTTTACTGATCCAAACTTACAAATGCGCTTCCAGAGTTTTCATTTACGCTTCTGAAGTTTTCGTTTACGCTCCCTGAGTTCCCTTATCGAGTCGGTCTCTCGACATTACGTATGGGGAAATCCATTTTCCTCGAATCATGAAGTCTGATAGAATAACTCTTTTGCTTGCAAATAGCCAATGGCGGTCCCGCCATCACCTGATTGGCTGACACTGCTCAATATAGGTGACGGCGGGCGCCAAAAAACCTCAGAATCTTTTTTCTTCACTCGAGTCTGTTTTCACCGTTGATGTACGCATTCAGAGCGGAGTATATTAAGGAGTTTTAATTCCCCTCTCGCGTTCCGGTGGATTATATTATGTCTCTTTGTCGCCCGTGTGGTGGACCCATTGAATCCCCGGACGCACACAACTTGTGTGCTGTGCCTGGGTCGGGACCACGCAGAGGCGGCACTCGAGGGATCGGGATGTCCCGCCTGTGAGGAGCTTCCCATCAGATCCTTCGTGCAAGGCTGGCCGTTACACGTAGCGACGACCTTGTGTCTCCTGCCTCTCCCCAGTCTGCCGCCTTCGAGCCGCGGACCGGGAGACGGCAGAGATCTCCATTCGCGGGTTCTGTTGAGGCGCTGACGTCGGCCCAAGGTCCACGCCATCCTCACGTGGCAGAGCCCGTGAGTTACTCTTGAGGCCATTTACCGCCCTCTTGAGGAAGCACGGGAATTATCTCGTTCGGTTACGACGATGACGACCGCAATGGTCCGAGTCTCCGTCTGAAGGCGCCCTCGCCTCTTTGGATGCGGAGCTTATGGCCATTCTCACTGAAGCCTTGTTTATACTCGACGCGTCCGCAAGAGCGCGAAGTGCGCGCGGCAAAAATGACGTCATTGCGGTGTGGGCGGTCGTGCGCGTTGGGTGCGCAAGACCCCATTTCGCCTGGCGGTGTGCACGGCACTTTTTGTAACATCGCGCGCGGCGCCGCATCCGAAGATGAACGACTTCGAGCCGAATCTGGCCGAACTGGTGCGTCTGTATCAGCATGTTTATGATCCTTCTATACACAGAGACATTTGCATTGATGGGCGACCATAAAAGCCTCTCATTTTTTGAATAGGAACACATTTACATTAAGCACCCAGTTTGCACTCTAAAGTAACTGCTTATATTTACAAAATAAGCCTACAATAGCAAAAGTAAGCCCTGCTGATGAAATTAAGGTTTAAACACTCTTCAATAAGGCTTCAGTTGTTTACTAGTTTACATGCAGTGAAAGTACAATAAACCTACTGCATTTATTACTCTTTTTATACGAATCAGAAATTAATAAACTACTAATAAATGGCAAACTACTTCTTCACTGCTGATTCCTGGTGGTTTAGAGGAGAATTACTCCGAGTCGCCCCCTGTCGTTTCACAGAATAGCACAACGGCGAGCGCGTCAAGTATAAACGCCTCGTCCATATGGAGAGGTCCGCGCGCAGTCAGCGGAGACTCGCGCTCGTGCGGACGCGTCGAGTATAAACAAGGCTTGAGGCGGTGGCAGATATGGTGCTGGAGTGGACAGCGCCCAAGGAGCTGCCGTCGGAAAGGTGGCCTCGGCGCGGGCCGTAAAGCTGAAGCGAGAGGCAGTTCAGGAAGTCGCTAAAAAAAAAAAAAAAAAAAAAAAACAGCGCTCCTGATGTGCGTGTCAGGGAGGAAAGAGCGCGGTACGTGTTCGTCGGACCGGTGCGAAGAGGGCGTGTTCCCGCCCAGAGTTCGACGATAATGTGTTGTTTCTGAAACTGCTGTGTTCTGTTTCAATAACAAGGTACATTACATGTCTCAGCAAAAGAGCTTCTTTCCCCAACATTATTACCCGCCTCATAGACGGGAGACGCATCGCAGAGCGGAAGCTCGGGGAAACCCGAGGCGATGGCTATCTATGTCCCCGTGCATGATGCCGCGGACGAGCTATACCATTTCATATAGCAGTCAATGCTTTCCCGGTGGCTGGCGCCCAGCCCCCGCCGCAGCATTCATTGCCCTGTATGGCGATTCTGATTACTACACAGTGTGTATTCACAGTTGTTGCGCGATGCAACTGACGCTGTGTTACGTACACACCACACTGTTATGTGTAAGGATTTATGCCATTATATATTGCCCTGTGTCCTTCAGTGCAATGGCTATTCTGATTACTACACCGTAAGTATTCACAGTTGTTGCGCGATGTAACTGACGCTGCGTTACGTACTCACTACACACTGTTGTGTGTAATGATTTATGCCATATATTGCCCTGTGTCCTTCAGTGCAATGGCTATTCTGGTTACTACGCAGTACGTATTCACAGTTGTTGTGCGATGCAACTGACACTGTGTTTATGTACACACTGCACACTATATGAATTTGCCGTTGTATATTGCCCTGTATCCTTCAGTGCAATGGCTATTCTGATTACTACGCAGTACGTATTCACAGTTGTCGTGCGATGCAACTGACGCTGTGTTTATGTACACACTGCACACTATATGAATTTGCCGTTGTATATTGCCCTGTATCCTTCAGTGGAATGGCTATTCTGATTACTACGCAGTACGTATTCACAGTTGTCGTGCGATGCAACTGACGCTGTACACACTACACACTGATATGTGTAATGATTTATGCCTTATATATTGCCCTGTGTCATTCAGTGCAAATGGCTATTCTGATTACAACGTATTCACAGTTCGTGCGCGATGCATCTGACGCTGTGTTACGTACACACCGCACTCTGTTATGTGTAATGTTTTATGCCATTATATAGTGCCCTGTGTCATTCAGTGCAAATGGCTATCCTGATTACTACGCAGTGCGTATTCACAGTTCGTGCGCGATGCATCTGACGCTGTGTTACGTACACACCGCACTCTGTTATGTGTAATGTTTTATGCCATTATATATTGCCCTGTGTCATTTAGTGCAAATGGCTATCCTGATTACTACGCAGTGCGTATTCATAGTTGTCGTGCGATGCAACTGACGCTGTGTTTGTGCACACCGCACTCTGTTATATGTAATTATTTATGCCATTATATATTGCCCTGTGTCATTCAGTGCAAATGGCTATCCTGATTACTACGCAGTGCGTATTCATAGTTGTCGTGCGATGCAACTAACGCTGTGTTTGTGCACACTACACACTGATATGTGTTATGATCTATGCCGTCATATTTTGCCCTGTGTCATTCAGTGCAAATGGCTATTCTGATCACTACGTATTCACAATTGTTGTACGATGCAACTGACGCTGTGTACACACAACGCACTGATATGTGTAACTATTACGCCGCTATATATTGCCCTGTACCCTTTAGTGCAACTGGCTACTCTTTTACTGTGTAGTCACAGTTGTTGCGCGATGCCACAGACGCTGTGTTATGTACATTGATATGTGTCTATGATTTATGCCGTTATATGTTGCCCTGTATCCTGAGTGCAGCCGGCTATTCCGATTAACTACGTATTTACAGTCGATGTCGCTATGCCTCTGACGCTGTGTTTTTTGTACACAAAAATGTAACTATGCTTGTGCATAGTCTCAGTCGTCGCTACGGCGATTGCATTGCATCTGTGTAGATATTGAAGCGTTATGCTGCCCTTCAATGTAATGGACCATTGTGTACGCATATTCATGCAGTTTCGGTCGCTTCAGCAACTTGAGCTGCATTATACACACAGATGTTTAAAATGTGCACACTGATGTGTTATGCTGTTATGTTGCCCTCTATCATTCAGTGCAACAACCAGCTATCCTATCTAACTGCATATTCAGTTTGTCGCTACAGCGACTACACTGCACTTATGTACGTATAAGGACGCGTGTTGCTATTTTGTTGCTCTGTTTCTTTCAGTGCAAAACTAGCTATCTTAATCTACTGTGCATACTCACAGTTTCTGAATGTATGTACGTACACGGATGTGCAATTTACCATGTGTTATGCTGTAATGCTGCCCCGTTTCCGTGCAGCTAGCCATCCTGATCGAACTGTACATCTCAGTTTCTGTCTCTACGCAGTTCTGTCGCTACGGTGACTTATGCTGCGTTATGTACATGCATGGATGCGCTACAGCGACCGATGCTGTTACGTACATGTGCTATGCTGTTATGTTGCCCCGTTTCCTTCAGTGCAACTGGCTATTCTGTGCTAACTCGTCTACTCACAGTTGTAGCTACGGCTATGTGTTTGTTGTTTACTGAGGTGCTATGCTATTATGGGGCTATTATCTACTGCGTATATTCATCAGAGCCCAGGTGGTTGCAATTCCAGCATTTTGCCCGGATGAGGTCAGTATTTCAGAGTCTCAGAAGTACGCTTGTGCCCCATGCGTGCCCTGCGTGCTTATGTGAACAGAACTAGCCAGTTTCGAACTTCAGAGCAGCTCTTCGTCTGCTACGCGGGTGCTAAGAGGCGGCGCGCTGTCGAAACGGAGGCTATCTCACTGGATAGTGGAGGCTGTGCACTGGCTGGCTTATGCTTCACGGGAAGCCGTTTCCCTATAGGGGTGCACGCCCACTCCACTAGGAGTTTGGCGTCATCATGGGCATGGGCGAAAGGCATGTCTATTCAAGACATTTGTTTCGCGGCAGGTTGGTCGTCTCGTAATACCTTCGCGAGATTCTATAACTTGAATATCCCTTCATTCGCACCACATGTCTGT